GTTTGTGCCAAAGCATAGATGAACTTATTTTTTTTAAAAACTTTGTCAGTGCAGTTTTATAAGCTTGGCGAGTATGATGAACCAAGAATCTATAAAATCTTGATGCTTCCTTCTCTAAATATCCCAAATGTGGTGTGGTAAGTGGTGTGGGCCACCTGTCCGTCTCTGGTGCAAGCTGTAGAAATCTGGCGCGCCGAGGGGTTAGACGTCAACAGGAGGAACCTTGCAATGGGACAATGAAACATCCAATGTGGACTGTTTCAGTACTTCGGGACCTCGGGGTACGGTGATTTTTTGTCCCCATCGCTCTGGCTCGCGAATTCGAACCCATCAGTGCTTTTCTCTACTTTTGCTTTTTTTACCGGATGCATCTCACTGATAGTATTTCGATTGAAAATTTTTCAAGTCAAAAAATGCGTTGTTGCTGCTTGCTAAATTAAATTCTGCAGGGGCATCCGGATACTGAGTATCCCAACTCGTACGTAGTAGGATATCCCAAAATTAATAGACTATTTGATTGAAAATCAAATACTCTTTCTTGTTAATTTATATATGTTGGATATGAAAATATTGATTGGAAAGCCATAGCAAGGGTCTTCTTTTTTATGTACAAGAATTTCCTAGTGAACCCCAAATACTAGCCATAGAGACCACTGAATCTTCACAACATTGGGATGCTTTCAAATTACATGTACATGTACTTTGAAAACTGCTCTTGCAAAGAATATTTTAGATTTCCTCAACATATATCTATAAATGTATCTAGAACAGAAGAACCGTTTGTCAAAGGATCAAGCATACCCAGTATAGTCATCACAGAAGGGAGCAACAACATGGAGGTTCAACACCACGGGCAAATATTTCAGACTAAAACTCTAGTATTTTCCTAGAACATTCCCGGTCTCTCACTGAATAAAGCAATGAAGTTCAAATTTCATGTACAATGTAATAATACATGTATAAATGGGGGAAATTAATTTTTTTTTAATTACAAAGCCCGCAATTAGTTAAGTTGAAAATTTTCTCGTTCAATGTATACATATTTCAATCTTATTACTTCATGGATATATTGCGTGACGCTAAGTACTGAGTATGCTCAAACATAGTCCGGACACGCAATAAGTAACAATCATGTCTGTTGAGCATGTGCAAACACATCTGCATATTCTGGGCATTCTGATATGTCCAGTTACGAGGTATAAAATGCATGTGAAAAGATATACTCAATTCTATGCTTTTTTCTAGGGCATAGAAATTAACCTTTGGAAACACGTACGCGTTACCACATAATTATTGCAAGTATACGTAACAGCTTTTATGGTATGCCAAACATTGCGGCTGTTTCACACTTTCTGAACATGTGCAAATGCAAAGTTCTGGATTTGTTTAGGCATCAGCTAACAGATCTCATATACTCTCTGGTGACAATTTAGCGTATTCTTAATATGCATAACATCGCGGCAATCTAGCATTTTAAGGGCACGTGCAGTAACTTCTTGTGCTGCAAAGAACAATAAAGTATTGCAGTTTTCAGTGTAATTGGGCAAAATTTTCCCCCATAGCAAAAAAAAAAAATCCCTCGAATGAATTGCTATATACTCTCAAATGGAGAAGTTCTGCAATATAGTAAAGATTCTACACAACAGTCCTTCCTACATTACCGTTATCGATTCTGATTCTGCATGTGCCAATAGATGAGCACATCATGGTATCAATTATTATTATATTTATTCATTTATTTTTAATTTGCATAATGCATTGTACACGACTTCAACATTCAACCAAAATAAAGGCCCTTCCCATATGGCCATTCAGTTCCCGCCATAAGCTCTGACCACAATTTACGTATAATATATTCCTTATGTATTAAATATTCTTTTAAAAAGAAATAAACCGACATGCATTAAACACTCGCACAGAATCTAGTATGAAATTTGTAATGGCATACGGCTTACTTGAATTACTGAAATTTCTAGTCCATGATATTCAATACTGGAACAGATAATGTTATTTAAGTGAATTGTCTACGGATTATTCCATTTACCCGACCATGACAATGAGCACACGGCGGCTGTGACCGGTTGACAGGGAATGCTTACTCCTCCAGGGCACCTGATCCCACCTCTGACGTTTTTTAGAAGTCCTTGTTTGCTCTGCTCCCGATTTGTATTGGTTTAATGGACTTTTGGGCTTGATTACTGTTCGTCATCTCCATGTTTCATTTTATACAAAGAATTCATTTGATATTTATTATTCAAATACTGAATAAAGGGAAAGTTAAGTTGCTCATAATTTGAAACACATGTGTAATAACGAAGTCAAAACGGTCGCCCGCGTCGCGCAGTGGTTAGAGCGTATGCCCTAGAGTCGCGGGGTAAGGAGTTGATCCTTACGTCGCGGGTTCGAGTCCACTGCGGGACGTGGAGCCAGGTCCTTCAGGTGTTAATTGTCATCGGATTCTTCGCTTTCCTCAGTACTTGTCTTCAAATTTCCCTCATACATAAAGAATCGAAGATCCATTACCAAAGGAATATCGTCAAAGTCAATGTTTCCACCGTGTGTATACTTTCTAATCAACGCCAAATCTTTGCATTGTATTTATACCTATGATCTGCTACGTTTTCGAGAATTGACATCTATGACGTTTCAGTTCCACATGACTCTATCAGGGTTCTCCAACATTTCAGATTTAACTGTGGCGCAAGACTTCCGCCATGTGCTAATATTCGCGGTCATTTCGCGACCGAATTTGCGAAGGAACCACTAAATAAATTGAAAAACACAATGCCCCTATATACATATATTATATTATTATTATTATATTGTTTACCAGTCGTGTTCATTAAAGGACAGACAAAATTCTGGTAGGTCACCAGTCATATTTACATCTAGTCTATATATTTGCAATTATTAGTCAGAAGTATCTTAAACTTGTATATTTTGGTGGATATATTTATTATTTGTTAATTGTTCAACATTACAAAAATACACGAATATTTACGATCGATACACGTACGATGTTTTAACTCGTAGTGTCAATGCAATTTTAGAAACTTACATGTAGTTATCTGTAAAACTATATAAGCAATGAATTAATTGGTATTTTGAAATTCAGTTGTAATTATAATGAAGTGTGAGAAAAGGCTTGTCGCTTTTCATTCATGTGTCTAGCGAGGTCTGGATGATAATTAATTGTAAAAGCCAAACAGTGGATCCTAATTCGAGCACATTAATAGATAAATATAGAAACTAAAACACGCCTTTACGGTACATAATTAAGAGTATTAATTAAGTTTATTTTATTAATAAATTTATATATTCATCTTACTGACGACGACGATCTTACTGTGGCGCTGATTTTTGAACTGTGGCGCTAGAAAATTTAACTGTGGCGGGGCCGCCACGTTAAACGGCCCATGGAGAAGTCTGCGCTATTTAATTAGTTGATTTTTTTTCTGAGAGGACCCTCATTTACGGGCGTTTTATCACGGCTATTTTCAACTTAACTAAACGATAAAACGATAATATTATAACCAAGAATATATAAAACTGTGTTTTATTTTAAAGACATTTGGGAGTGTGATAAACGCCCTTTCAGCGAGTTCGTCTATATGTAGGAATTGTTGCCACTGAATAATATTCAGGGAATCTTGCTTTACAATGTAAAACGTATGATGTCTCGCGTTAGGTGTCGAAGGTAATTGAAATGTTCTTAAGACGGACAATTTTTAATATGTAATAACCAGTTTTTTAACTTGATAACATTGACTGATTGTTGTTTAACGTCCTTCTCGAGAATTTTTCACTCATATGGAGACGCCAACACTTGCCGGTGTAGGGCTACAAATTTTGACCTATACTCGGCACTTACGGCCATTGAGCAGTGAGGGATCTTTTTCGTGCCAGCACCTACTACGACACGGGACCTCGGTTTATACGGTCTCATCCGAAGGACCGGTCTCCACGTCCCACAGTGGGATTCGAACCCGCGACGTAAGGATCAACTCCTTCTCTTTTAACATTGATAAATACATATATATATCGTAGCGTTAAAGAGATATCTCTTAGCCTTAAATAAGGAAATATCTCTCTAACTCTGAAAGATCTCTCTCTGGCTTTAAGAGATACCCCTCAAAATAACAAAGATATCTCTTTAAGTTACAGAGATATCTCTTTCAAGTAAAAATATGTCAGAAAAATATCTTAGGTAAAAGAGATATCTCTCTAGGTTATAGCGTGTTGAAAATATCTTCCTGAGTTAGATATCTTTTAAGCAAAAAGAGATATCTCTCGAATTTGAAGAGATATCTTTTATATTGAATAAATCGCTAAAAGGCTTGCTATAGTGCGGACCTTGAGTGAAATATTCCTAGCTGAGTTATCGCCTCAAACGAATGTAGCAAATAACTAGAATAGTGGCCATCTAAGTTCATTATGAAGATATTTTTTTAACCTTACAATGTCCTCTGAAATTATATGCCTGTAATAAAATACACACCTAAGGGATATAAAGGATAAAGTAATTATTTATAAAGTTTCTAGTAATTTTCAACGCAACAAAATATCTTAACAATATTCATCCAGAAAATCTTAACAGGTAATATAAAAGGATATACCAATACATACGATATGCATACGGTGTGTAAATTCGTCCAAATAAAACATTATACAGAACTAAGCTAAAAGTAGATTGTTAAAAAATGATACAATATGTGTTTGTCATTACTTCTTTTAACATAAAGATCAGATAGAAATGACAATCAATATGACTAAAACAATAATCTGTTAATCATAACTTCCTCGGATATATGGAAAAGATATAATTTCTAAAAAAAAAAAAAAAAAAAAAAAATGAAATACATATTTAGCCATATGCTTTTTAAAGTGTACAGGTTCATATTAAATACAAAATATGAAAGTTATCTGAAGTTAAATTATCAACCTTTCTTTTTAAAACACTTTCGAAGTACCATGCAACATAATATATCCATGTTAGTATTTCATTCTAACAACCTGATATCAATAACTTCTTTGGTACTGGTATTCACCATCCATTTCTTTTGAAGATTAATTCTATACCTGTAAAATGAAAATAAGCGAATGGAATGTTTCATTTTTACATTTAACTTCTTTTCATTTGTCGATTTTTTTTAAACTATCGAAATTTGAGACGCATTTACATTTTAATAAAAAGGCAAACTGCAACCTATGGCAATTATCGTAATGTGACCTCACTATGACTGATCTTTTTGCTTAAAAAAAGATAAGAAGGAAAGTAAAGACCTTGAGAGCTATGTTAAAACGCGAAATGTAATAACAACGCGAAATGTAATAAACTGGTATTGTTACATTTTGCACTATTACATTTCGCGTCGAGATCAACGCAGAATGTAATAACGCAAAATGTAATAAAACAATTTTTTTTTATTATTACATATTGCTTGGGATTTACGCAAAATGTAAATGTACTTTTTGGGTGTTACATTTTGCTTTATTTAATTTTTGCGTTGAGGACAACACAAAATGTAATAAAACAAAATATAATTAATTTTTGTATTGTTTTCAACGCAAAAACATCACAAAATTGATTTGATAACAATGGGGAAATTCATTTTACTAAATAGACAGACAGATCTATGACAATGAGGCAAACGTTACGGCTTTTACGGATATTACTAAATTGGTTAGCAAATTAGAAGTGTATGTGTGTGTGTCTGGCATTGAGAGGCGGGGGGATTTTACCTCGTATGTTGATTATTGTATTTTTATGCGCATGCAGAAACTATCCATTTTATTATTATTAGAGGGGGGGGGGGAGAATTTTATTTTTGCTGGTATGCAATGCACGTGATTTCTAAAACATGAAAGTATGAAATCTTAATTGTCAATAACCCCCATCCTCCCCACCAAAATGTAATAATTCTTAAAAGTCCATTTTTACATTTTGCGTTATTACATTATGCGTTGATATCGACGCAAAATGTAAAAACGTAAAATGCAGTAATCCCGGTTTATTACATTTTGCGTTGTTATTACATTTCGCGTTGTAACAGAGCTAGCTAATAGTTAGATACAATAAATGAAAAATTAGGGATTAAGAGGCAGAGGAAGCGATCTCATTCTTAATCTTCATTGTGTTCTTTGCTAATGAAATAGTTTTGTTTTGTTTTTGTTTCCCAAAGAAGTCATTTGACATGAACATAAAATGAATCGCTATATAGAATATTTAGCGATATTGGATGAAAATATGGGTTATGTTCTTATTGTGTCAATTTAACTTCTTTTGAACTTAACAGCTCTTCAACAATCATTTGCAAAGAGAACAGGGAAGATTTTACTCTTACGTTGTTAATGATTGCAGAATTGTTAGAGAAAATGTGAAAATGCAAGAATTTCATTCTAAAATGTGATACAGCAATGAAAACATAAATTTCAGGTAAAGTTTATTGTGAATTCACTTCCTGTTTGTGTTTTCAGGAGTGCTTTAAAAATTTCAAATTTTTATTTAAACCTCTCTAGGAAAGAAGATCTATTTTTTAAAATCATTCAAAGTCTCATAAATACTGTGAAAATAAATGGAAAGCCCATTCACTTTTAAATATTTGAAACAAAAAATCATGATAATAAATGTCCATACTTTTATAAGCCGTGCTTATTTAAAAAAAATGTCTAAAATGTTCAACTTACAATTGTCCATTACAAGTAATAAGGAGAGTTCTTCCCGTGCCCCCCGTATAAAATTGCTGTATTGTTTCATTTTCCTCATCTGGAAAATCAGTCCACGTATCAGCCTTCCATTGCCACCTCTTGCTCGACGAGCTGTCCCTAGAATTCTTAAGGTATGGTGTATTAGTCTTATTTGTCATTGGCGTTTTCGTTGAAGTGATGCTGGATTTATTTCTGTGTGACTCTATTGGATTTAAAATTGCATCACATGGGTTTGCATTGTCTCGAAAATGTGAAGATGTAATAGTTTCCTTAGTCTCCCATTGACCTAAATTTATAATGAAAAATAATCAGTAATTTTGAGTCTTTTGTGAAAGATATTATAGAGTATGGAAGTAGAATTTATCTGAAAACTGTAAAACTGTTCAACTGTATTTTGGTTTGAACTGTTTTGCCTACGAATTATATTCTACTTTTAGGTAAAGTATGTTACTCAAATGCAAAACTTTATCTATCCTTTAAACTTTTTTCAAAATATTTGACTTTGGCAAATATGTCTGAATAGTAAGTGTGCAGTTGCAGTGCGCACAAAAGTCAAGTCTAAAATAGAAATATAGGATATTCAGTTTTGTATTTGGATACTATATATTTCATGAGTGGAACAGGGTTTTACTCTAGATATTTTCACGAGTACGTGAATATATATATATATATATATATATATATATATATATATATATATATAGAAAGCACAAAGAAATTCACTTTTATAAGGATACCCACTTCCGCCCCAGCCCGGGGTTGAACTCTCGACCTACGGAATCTGTCTCCTAGCAGTACAGGAACAGCGCGTTAGACCGCTCGGCTATCTAGGCAAGTCAAAAAAACTTGCTTTCGATGCCGATGGAATTCTCACAGCGCTGCCCTACACTACACGGTCATTGAGAATAGTAGTGAGATACAGTTATTTGGACATTAGTTTTATTAGAGGATCGTTACCAATACACGTTGTAATGAAATTAATTTTATTTATAAAGCACAATTTACAACAACTCTTAAACTAACATAACTGCCCTAAGTGAAGAAATATTAATATAGAAAGCACAAAGAAATTCACTTTTATAAGGATACCCACTTCCGCCCCAGCCCGGGGTTGAACTCTCGACCTACGGAATCTGTCTCCTAGCAGTACAGGAACAGCGCGTTAGACCGCTCGGCTATCTAGGCAAGTCAAAAAAACTTGCTTTCGATGCCGATGGAATTCTCACAGCGCTGCCCTACACTACACGGTCATTGAGAATAGTAGTGAGATACAGTTATTTGGACATTAGTTTTATTAGAGGATCGTTACCAATACACGTTGTAATGAAATTAATTTTATTTATAAAGCACAATTTACAACAACTCTTAAACTAACATAACTGCCCTAAGTGAAGAAATATTAATATAGAAAGCACAAAGAAATTCACTTTTATAAGGATACCCACTTCCGCCCCATTAATTTCATTACAACGTGTATTGGTAACGATCCTCTAATAAAACTAATGTCCAAATAACTGTATCTCACTACTATTCTCAATGACCGTGTAGTGTAGGGCAGCGCTGTGAGAATTCCATCGGCATCGAAAGCAAGTTTTTTTGACTTGCCTAGATAGCCGAGCGGTCTAACGCGCTGTTCCTGTACTGCTAGGAGACAGATTCCGTAGGTCGAGAGTTCAACCCCGGGCTGGGGCGGAAGTGGGTATCCTTATAAAAGTGAATTTCTTTGTGCTTTCTATATTAATATTTCTTCACTTAGGGCAGTTATGTTAGTTTAAGAGTTGTTGTAAATTGTGCTTTATAAATAAAATTAATTTCATTACAACGTGTATTGGTAACGATCCTCTAATAAAACTAATGTCCAAATAACTGTATCTCACTACTATTCTCAATGACCGTGTAGTGTAGGGCAGCGCTGTGAGAATTCCATCGGCATCGAAAGCAAGTTTTTTTGACTTGCCTAGATAGCCGAGCGGTCTAACGCGCTGTTCCTGTACTGCTAGGAGACAGATTCCGTAGGTCGAGAGTTCAACCCCGGGCTGGGGCGGAAGTGGGTATCCTTATAAAAGTGAATTTCTTTGTGCTTTCTATATTAATATTTCTTCACTTAGGGCAGTTATGTTAGTTTAAGAGTTGTTGTAAATTGTGCTTTATAAATAAAATTAATTTCATTACAACGTGTATTGGTAACGATCCTCTAATAAAACTAATGTCCAAATAACTGTATCTCACTACTATTCTCAATGACCGTGTAGTGTAGGGCAGCGCTGTGAGAATTCCATCGGCATCGAAAGCAAGTTTTTTTGACTTGCCTAGATAGCCGAGCGGTCTAACGCGCTGTTCCTGTACTGCTAGGAGACAGATTCCGTAGGTCGAGAGTTCAACCCCGGGCTGGGGCGGAAGTGGGTATCCTTATAAAAGTGAATTTCTTTGTGCTTTCTATATTAATATTTCTTCACTTAGGGCAGTTATGTTAGTTTAAGAGTTGTTGTAAATTGTGCTTTATAAATAAAATTAATTTCATTACAACGTGTATTGGTAACGATCCTCTAATAAAACTAATGTCCAAATAACTGTATCTCACTACTATTCTCAATGACCGTGTAGTGTAGGGCAGCGCTGTGAGAATTCCATCGGCATCGAAAGCAAGTTTTTTTGACTTGCCTAGATAGCCGAGCGGTCTAACGCGCTGTTCCTGTACTGCTAGGAGACAGATTCCGTAGGTCGAGAGTTCAACCCCGGGCTGGGGCGGAAGTGGGTATCCTTATAAAAGTGAATTTCTTTGTGCTTTCTATATTAATATTTCTTCACTTAGGGCAGTTATGTTAGTTTAAGAGTTGTTGTAAATTGTGCTTATATATATATATATATATATATATATATATATATATATATATATATATATATATATATATATATATATATATATATATATGAAAAATCCTGTCTCACGAGTGAAAAAATTCCATTACTGAATTTTCTGTGTATTACTTTAATTTTCATTTTGCCTCTTCCTTTTTGTAATGCAGCCTTGTAGCCAGTGACCTCATAGTAGAGCATTTGTGTGACTTTAAAGCTAAGCAATTTTGAGATTAAAAATTGCAAATATGAATTTTAACGACCGTCTGGTGAAATTTTAACAGTTTTACGATGATTTTCGCTATCTCATGAGAGTTTCGCCGCCTTTTCAATATATTTCACAGTGACAAATATGTTTTGATATTTTTCACTCTGAAAAATATCACTTTTATTCAATAGATAAATTACAGTATTTCATTATTGAAAATGTAATAAATAATCTTAATATATGACTTAGAATGACACCTCAGACATATTATAAAGATTTTAATTTTGACACATGTAATACTTTTGCTAGAACTGTACTTAAAATACCTGATAATTTTTCTGAGTAAGAATAAGGTGTTTTTTGTTCTTCTGACTGTCGTTTCAAGATTTCTGCTATATTTGGATCAAATGGATCGCTGTGCAAAAAACAATTAAATTAAAACAATGTTATTTGACAGATACATGTACGTCAATTCTTGATATATATATATCCCTTAATGCCACATAGCTTCTAAACCAGTATTTCAACTTACCATAATTCTACGTCAAATTTACCATTGTATCCGTATCTGTAATTGCTTTTGTTTCCATTTGGCCAGCGAACCTGCCAAAAAAGTGTATGTTTTAGAAATATAATATATAAATACATATTTAATACATGAAAATTTTTAAAGATATTCTTGCTCACATATATCTCTGTTGGCGTTTTAAGGCGATACACTGTTCCGATGTTCCCTGTACCTCCATCTTGTTCATCCCACTTCCAGTCTCTACCTATAGTTTAAAGCACAATATATTCAGTTACGCTACACGTAATATTTTTAAACACAACGTGAGAAATTGTTTTTAAGTAATTTATATCAAACAAAGAATATCTATAGTGTACTTGGTCTTGCAAGTGATCACTGAAAGTGTGATCCATTTAGATACGATTATACGAAAGTGACCCATTAATTTATGATTATGTAAAAGTGATTCACTAAGCTACAGTCATGCCTCTCCTAACAAGACATCCAACGGCGATTGGTTGGTTCTCTAGTATTCTAGGTTCTTTGCAAGGTGCAATGTCATATTCTGTTAGAACGCCATTGTTACCATATCTATATGGCAACTGAAGACCTGTATCCCACTCCACATTAATCCATCCAACTGTGAAGCGATGAGTTGAAAGTATTCAAAGAAGCCAAAGGTAAAAGGTTTCATGTAAGCATATGTTTCATGATGATCAAAATCTATTTTAAAATTGACTACAATTCTGAAATTTTCCATCAATATGTGCACCAATTGAATATTGATGAATTGTTCATAAGTGTAAGTTTCAGTATATGGGCAATCTTCTATTCCCCTAAATTTTCATAGTGTTACGATTTAATTTTTAAATGCTTGTCAATGACAATATTAAATGCTAATTGACTATCAGAACTTCAAAGAAATTGAATATTGTAAATGATAAATGATTTGCACCTCTTTTTGAATGTCCAACAACAGTTCCTGCTCCATGTCCATCTTGGTTTTTCCAGCTCCAATCTGGCCCTCTTCGGACACGAGTACCAACACAAGGCATATGTGCATATCTCTCTTGATATTCCATTTCCTGTTCAATCTCCTCTTCTTCTCTCAATTCACGACCTGACTTGTATACATCTCTGTTCTCAATAATTTCACAGACGTCATCCTATTACACACATTGCAAATTACATTTAAGACACTTTTTAACTATTTCTGGAAGATCTACATAGGAATGAGTATTTGTTCTGACTGCATGCATTACTTTTGTAAAAGTTTATTTTCTTTTTTTAAAGTGCAGTGAAATGCCAAAAATATAAAAATAAACATACAACATCCTTCTCAGAGACACTCTGCAAATGGCAAAGTTCTGATTTAATTGCTTCTTTTGAAGTTTGATCTTCTTTTGACATTCGTTGGAGTACTTTTGAAGCCAAGACCTAATAAAATTCAATAATCCGACGTAAAGATATTCTTAAGTGTTTAATATCAAAATCTGTCACAGGTAAATAAAAAACTAAGATATTTAACATTCATTGATTTATATACCGATTATAATTATAATTAAATAAATGTAACCACTAGTAGTCATACCATATTGACAGTGTATCTACCTAACTGACCAGCCTCGTGGTGTGGAATTAACTTTCCTCCTTTTGATTGAATGATCATTGTTCCTAAAAAGCACTAAAAATACAGCAACTATAAGGAGAAGTTTAGCTCTGAATTGGGAAAAATAAGTGTTGAAAATAGAACAAGAATCTAGTCCTCTTTTCAGGTCACCTGATCAGCTATGGACGTAAAGGTCTTTTTATTTAATTATGGCTGATATACATTTCCGTCTAACAAGGGTAATAAATTCTAATTTCAACTTGAGTTGAATAAATTTCAGCTACAAAAATATAATCTCTTTTGAAGACTTTGCAGATACCTTATGAGTATAGAACTAGTACTAGTCTTCAAATATTTTCATATCAAGCAAAACAAGGTTACGACATATCTTTTACTAAAATAAGCATTTGACATTAGAAGATTTCCGTTAATTCAAAAACAAAAAAGCTTCTTTGTCAAATTCACATAAGTTTGCATATATTTTTATGAGGTTAGTAAAACTTTGCTATTAAAATGGATGACATGACAAGTATTTATCACCCTTTTCTCAAAGTCAGCCTTTTTACTAAATATAATGGATAAGTACGAGTTTTTTCTCCTCAAAATTCATATGCAACACTTTTGGTCTATGGGTAACTATATCCTACATTCAATAAACTTGTATTCAATTTTGAGTTTGTAAAAGAATAAGAGGCATATGATCAATACGCTTTTCCGAAAAACTCCAGTGATGTTAAGAAATGTGCTCCTGATCGAGTATTAAAGTGAATTTAGTAACTGTATTGTCCATTGCCTGTTAGTGTCTTTTTAAGACATGGTTCAATTTTATGATCGATAGCCTATAAAATGAAACTATCTCCTAAAATCAACTTCGATTGTCTACGGTGGCTGCTCATTTTTTTTCTTTTGAAACCAAGGAAGGAACACTAAAACTTTATAATTTTGAAATACTCACGATATCCGGATCAGCACCAACAGGAATACAAAAGATAGGTCTAGCTTTTCCAAGTCTTCTTACTAGGTCAACAATTCTGTCACTTGTCTTTCATGTTAAATTTCAGATTAACATATAAATGTTAATTTTTTTTAATATAAATTTTTGGTATTCCTTAAAAATATAAAGTATGTATAGTATATTAGCATAATAAAAAAATGCTACTTTAGGATTAGAATTTGTGTCATAAGAAAGTTACTTTCTCTTTGTTTAATTTGTGAAAGGCATTACTTCATCATAAACACGAGATTCATAGATTTCTCGGTCGTGTCCTGAACATATCTCTGTTGGTTTACCATCAGTGATGATTACTATTCTTGTTCTCACGTGATATGATCCAATGGCGCTGTAGGGAACTGTATAATTAATTCTAAAATAACAAAAGCCTTTGAAAAAGTTAAACAGGGATAAAAATGTAAAGAAAATAAAATACCTGAATGAATCCCTGAATAACACATTATAATGCCTGCTTCCAGTGGACTTCCTCCTCCACACTGTAAATCATCTGTGTCAAAGGGAATTCTGAATGAGTTTGATAATAATGAGACAAATAGAAAAGAAGATTATTTCAATATTTATAAAAAAAAAATGACTTTACCTACACAATTAGCAAGCATCGTGTAATTGTTGGAATAGTATTGTAGGACCTTTACTTCTTTACCAAAAGTTACAACCGAGACATTTTCTGGTACGGAAGACGAATGCTTGGAAAACTCTTAAAGATAATCATTTCATTTCAGAAAATAGTCCTAATGTCATAAAAAATCCGATGTCATTAAAATCATGTCTTAAGAAAGCGTACCAAAGTTCATTATTTGTATAGTGAAACATACCGTTAATGATATCTTTGAATGCTATTTTCATTTGCTGCAGACCTTCTCCTGCCATGCTTGCTGACGTATCAAGTAGGAAGACAGTTGTGACATAAGAACCATGTATGCAGCCATGTGTGTATAAACTATTTCGGTCTACAAAATATACGGAAGTAAAAATTTTCCAATAAAAATTAACCATAGATGTACGTATAAAATCCACAAATCTTTTTCGTTTTCTACTTTTCATTTATTTTCATTTTTTTAGAAGACGTTTTTGTATTTGTACTTCAAAACTTTGTTTAAAAATTATATTTCAGATAAAAAAAATTACTGTATTCGACATGGTCCCATTCCGTTATACATGTACTCTGCCTGAAGAAAGAAAGAAAGAAAGAAAGATAGATATTTTGGGCCATTTTTCTAAATCATCTATGTCAAATTACAGCTTCATAGATCATTCAGTCATTCACATTGATGGAGTAAACGACTTACTTCTACAAGATTCTTCTTTTGCTTTGTTCCAAAGTTGACGCCGATGTAAGTCTTCCATATGCCTATTGCTGAGAGTTAGATTTATGCTAAAAAAGTGAGCTCTCTATTTATTCCCTAAACGAACAAAAAATAGTATAAATTGTCTGGCTTTTATTTATATTTAACCAGGAAATCTTAATTTCCTTAGTTGTTTGTTTGGAATGTGTATTCCAAATCCTGCTTTTTCATAAACACTACCATGGAACTGTATTTTAGTTATTTTAGTCAAGTTTTCCTTTTTAATTTTTATTGTTTTATTTAAACACTTACAAAATAATGGCATTACACTCAACTGAGCACATTTTTGTGGTGTTTCCAGTCTTTCCTAATTTTAATATCAACAGATTTGAGAGGAAATACATTTTTTTTGTAACTTGTTATCAATTTCACTAAAAAATGTTGACTGCTTAAATTAAGATGTTACTGTAATCGTGGAAGCTTAAAAGAGCTTTTAAGCTTACATGTCTGAAAAAATTATTGCGCTATTATAAAACATTCTTTATACTTATAAAACATATTTTGAAAAAAAAGTAGTTCAAATTATATTTTACTACCCAACCATTTTTTAATGGTTGAGAAACTTGTTAAAATTAATGTCAATATGATTCGTATTTGTGTGGAGGGCCTGTAAGAATGTTTTGAGAGGAGTCTACGCAATTTGATATACAAAACTGGAAGCTTTTTTTTTTTAAACAAATTTGAATATATGAGGATTTAACCATTGAACTGGGCAAAAAATTTATGTATTATATTACAGATATATTCATTTAGTAGTAGTTGTAGTATGTTTCCTGGGTACAAATTCAAATTACATGTACATGTATTTTAGTCGAGAAATAACAATAATAAACTTTGCAAATAGTGCTCCCTGATCAAATCCGTCACATATATCACTCCAGTAGACGCATGAAAGCTCGAAAATGAATGAGCAGAGTCATTTGCTAAACACGTTGAAAGTACGAAATATAAGAGCCCAGTGTTCTTACCTTACTGGGACGGCATCAAACAATTATACATGTAAGGTAATAAGATGTTAATTGTTGTAATGTCCAATCACATAATTATTCAATTAATCTCTTTAATGCTTTGTTTATCGACAGCAGGGTTTTTCAGTAACATTTGAAGATTTCTGCAATTTGTTTAGATTTAAATATTGAGATTGGAATATTGTAATGTAAAATCCAAAAAGTTTAGTATCCGGTCATAATTAAATAATATATTGTACGTAATTGGGGATGTTGTTTAGTATGTCTAGTATGTGTATGAATCAGGAATAGGTACAATGCAAAGAAAATAGTTCTTCTGAATAGGGATGGGATTACTTTTTTAAATTTTCTTTCCGACATTGGGGTTACTTACGTACCAAAGTAATTGATTAAATTACAATTCTTTGTGCCAGTTTTTTTAAATTTATTTTTTTTAATTTTATGTTTATTTTTATTATTACTATTATTATTTGGATTTTATTACCATTTTTTCAATTTACAAAAATAACTCATTATTTAACAATTATTTTGCGATAATTTAATTGTTATGATTTGAATTTTAAATGCTTGTCAATGACAATATTAAATGCTAATTATAATTGTAACTAATGTAACCTTTAGTGTTCATATCATATTGAAAGAGTATCTGCCTAAAAGAAATGGCTTTTCCATCTTTAAAGTTCTCTATACCAATTTTAATCTTGGTTTTTCCAACTTTTAAGTTGGTAATTTCAAGTTTAGAAATGGTTTTTCCAACTTAAAAGTTCGTAATTCCAACTTTTAAGTTGGCTTTTCCAACTTTAAAGATGGTAATTCCTACACTGTACTTGAATATTGGCTTTTTCAACTTTAAAGTTGGCTTTTCCAACTTTAATCTGCTCTTTTCCAATTTTTTCGGGCATCCTGCGTTTTTGTTTTTTGTTTTGTTTTGTTTTTTTTGTGTACAATTGTCTTTATAGCATATAAAAATTGTATTGATTTATTCTATAAACCAAACACTCTGTATGGTCTCCTTTGTTTAAACTCATTCTCAACAAATTTATGTATGTCTGATCTCTTAAATATGTATGGTTGAAATGCTCTCATTTACATATTTTTATGAATTTACTATATCCTCTATAACATTATACACTATACAGTGTATGAGATAGACCAAAAAGGGCTTTTAAAGATGAAATGCATATGTAAGGTCATAGGTAAAGTGAAGGTAAAAAAAATAACGGGCACAGAATAATTCCATACCTATTGGTTTCAGTGTATTAAGATTGCATTAATAAAATTCATAATATTATTAAATTTAAAAAAAATCAAAGAAGAGGTTAAAAAAGCTCAAATTAAAGTTTTAGAAAACCAAGATTAAAGTTGGAATTACCAACTTTAAATCTGGAAATCGAAGAATAAATTTGGAACTATCAACTTTAATGTGGGAAAAGCTAACTTTAAAGTTGGAAATACCAAATATGCAGGTGGAAAAGCGAAGATACAAGTTATAAACTTTAAGGCAAGATTAAAGTTGGAAAAGTCAACTTTAAAGTTATAATTACAAACTTCAATGTTAGAATTGCCAACTTTTAAAACAATTATTACGTGGCACTAATACGCTTCCATAATACGATTTCTTCTTAAATTTAAGGGTCAGTGCTATTTTGTATGTGCACTGTTTGTAATAAGATATTATTTAAAAAAAATAGCAGCGTGACAATTCACGCTAAATTCTCCTTTTCAAAAATACTTCGAACGATTAATTTAACCCTTTAACTACCAGAGATTTTGCATTTTTTGAGCAAAACTGCCTAAAAATTTCAAACTGGAATTTTAACATTTTCTAGTCGCTTTTACATAAAGCAACCTATACATTTTCTGAAAGGTAAAATCTTAAAGTATTTAATTATGCAGAGTAAAATGGCGTCGTGGTTGTCATGGCAACGAATGAGACCCATAATTGCCAAAATATGTGTTTTCCACCCTTTTACATCACAGAAATACAAACAAATTTACAAATAATGTTTCCATAAGGGAATTTAGTGATACTAATAAAAACAAAGCATGCAAACAATTAGTTTTAGTTATACTGGTCAATTTTATTTGATAGAAAGAGTTTATACAATTACACAATGTCCGTGTATTAGGCTTTGGCTTTGCAGCTGTCTGATTGTCGTAATTATAAGCAATTTACAAATCGCTTTCCCTCCTACAGTTTTTACCTGACTTCAATAAAATTTGGTACACTTTTAGAGTGTACTAAGATACACAATTCTTAATTTTAGTTTTTTTTATTTCAATGAACAGTGTTGCCATGGTTACAAAATAGCAATTTTGAGAACGAGACTTCCTTACAAAACACGGGTATACTATATTCAGCAATTTTAAAATCGCTTTCCCTCCTACAGTTTTTGCTTGACTTCAATAAAATTTGGTACACATGTAAAGAACACTAAGATATAAAATTCAATATTTTAGTATTTTATTTCAATGAACAGTGTTGCCATGGTAACAAAAATAGCAATTTTGAGAAGGGAACTTTTTAACAAAACATGGGTATACTATATTCAACGCCATGGTACACTTTTAAATTACAAATATCAACGTTACAAAATTTGACATATATCAAACGTTGGTAGAAGGGAGAGGAGGAAGGATATTGCTGAACATTGTCTCTAGTTCGTTTGTTAAATGGTGATTTGGTGTCCGCGGAATCATGCGAGAAAATGTCTTGCCTTAAATACCCGATTTTTTTTTCTTTTGGAAAACCCATGTGTTCTAGAAGAAACAATATTAATGACCAGTCGTTTTTGACATCAAATGGTCCCCCTTTTACTTTCAGTAGAGTTTTATCACTGAATAAAATTACTTGCCTAGTTCCAGAGACCTGCATCTGAGAATTCACAACACCCTGATATGTACTCGAACATACAATATCACTAGTTCATCATTAAGTTTTAGAAGAAGGCCATGGGGAGAGTATGGCAAAGAACTACGCACACTAACTCTCGATTCCAGCCTATATTTTACACCCCTTTATTCAATAAAAGACAATTTTGCCATTAATTTTTTTTATATTGCAAACAAGAGTTCACTAGTGATTGAATTATATTACTGTCATATTGTAATTTTTGAATTTACCGGATGGAAGTAAATAGAAAATTACTATATTACAACTTGTCATATTGTAATTTTTAGCTCACCTGAGCCGAAGGCTCAAGTGAGCTTTTCTGATCAAAGAGTGTCCGGCGTCCGTCTGTCGTCTGTAGTCCGTAAACTTTTCACATTTTCGACTTTTTCTCAAGAACCACTGGGCCAATATCAACCAAACTTGCCACAAAGCATCCTTGGTTGAATTTAAGTTTGATCACCGGAAGTGCCGCGCCCTCTTTCAAGGGGGAGATAATTAAGAATTCGTGAAAATTTGGTGGCTTCTTTTAAATATCTTCTTCTCAAGAACAACTGGGCAAGAAAAGATAAAACTTATATGAAAGCTCCATGACATACTGTAGATTCACATTTGTTAATATCATGCCCCCGGGGGTAGGGTGGGGCCGCAAGAGGTGGTCGAAGTTTTACATAGGAATAAATAGGAAATGTATTTAAAAATCTTCTTCTGTAGAACAGCAAAGCCATGATTAGTCATATTATAAT